AGAAGTAAATGCTTTATGAGAATATGTAATTATTATTTCTTTTATAATGCAACAGCATAAATGTTATTTGGGAATTAAGGTTTGTAACGTGAGGAAATTGGAGGTAACTTCAGATTTAATACAGCATTTTAGACTTCACCTTATGTTTGCTTAGTGGGCCCTGGGATAATGTGCTTGCCTTACTTTTTTGTCCACATATTCTCTGTCTAATTCTTTAATTCGGTCAGCTTATGTATTTTCTCTTGATATGCATCAAGTCAGTGGAAGTTGTTATATGTTGATTATTGAAATATTGAATTGACCTTTAGGTTTAGATTTTCAGATTTTGTCACTTTCCACGTTTTATTTCTACCAGTTATGCATCAAAGTTTGTGGTTGTATTTTCAACAAATATAACTTGAGTATAGTGCTGTGCTCTCATCATTGCACTGGACATTGGATTGACTTTATAAGCGTATATCCCTGCCAGAAGCCATATGGTTGGGCTAACCGCAAAACCATCTTGATAAAAGCCATGCATGTTCATTGAAGAATCTTTTTTTAGGTTGAAGCAATAAATCAAAGTTGTGCAATTGCAACGCTAACTCAGCTGGTACGATGATTAGCTTCACTCTTTCTTATGAGATATTGACTTTGTGCAGATGTTTGATCTTTTTGATGTTGATCGCAATGGTCAAATTGAATTTTCAGAATTTGTTCGATCCTTGAGTGTCTTTCACCCAAAAACTCCGGCAGCAGTCAAGATAAATTGTAAGTAGTTAATACAAAAAAGGTGTAAAGTGTCTAGAAAGTCATGATGCTGGGGCAGTATTGACCGTGCCATGTTTAATCATATTTCAGTGAAAGATAAGACAGAAGGCATCATTCATATTCATATTGGTGTTCCAACCACATTTATGACTATGTCATTACTCAAGTTTGCAAAATTTTTTTCACAGATGCATTTAAATTATATGATCTGAGGCGCACTGGCTACATTGAGCGTGAAGAGGTACCTTTCTTTTTTGGAATTACCGTTTGACTGCAAATTGATGTAGGTCTTGCATATGGAATCTTATATGAAATATAAGAAAGTACTGATAAACATACTGGGGACAGAACTAGGAACATAGTTATAACATTAAATTGCAACTTGACCATTTGGCAGATTGCTCCATAAGCCAAGCGACCTACACATTTGCTTCTTTGTAGATAGATATGCTTTATTTTTGCACAAATCTCATGAGACACGTGTTGGTCATCGTGCTTTTCTTGCCTGAAAATTTGTCTCTGTATTGTTGTGTAGGGCAAAATGGCTTTACTTCTGTTGGCCAAAATAAAAAATGACTATTCCGGCCTTATGCCAGATTACCAACATCTAAAGAGGTTTTATATGTTGGTTCTTACAAGATCCTTCCCATGTCTAGATTCTGTTTCTTAAAAATCCGGTGATATGTTAGCTCGTTCTGATTTCTTGGCGAGATATGAGTAGAACTGGTAGCCAACTCTTAATAAGGTTGAATATGTGACTTACGAGTAGGAAGCTAGCTAAACCCCGTAGTTCTGTTGCTTATGTTCTGGATTTTGATGTCATTTGGACATAGTGTCCACAAAATGGTTTACATGGACAAAATTATTATCTAGGGTTTGTTTTTTTTTGGCTGATTGTTATCACAGTTGTGAAGGAAAACATTAGGAGAACTACATCGAAGAGATGTCTTGTTTCTATATAATTTTTTGGTTTTATTTTGTTGTGAAATTTTGTGATACTCTGAACACACCAATTTGGTCTTATTTGATAAACTTTGAAAACTTGTTCTCATGAATACTCTTACAGTTGAAGGAGATGGTGCTGGCAATCTTGACTGAGTCTGATCTGAAACTCTCTAATGATGCGGTTGAAACAATCGTGGAAAAGGTTTGTGTTGTCCTTCAAACTCAAATTATTAGACTAAAAATCCTTGGCATAAGGTACTCACATCAGTTGTACTGGTACTTGAGTCATTGACAGACATTTGAAGCAGCAGACACAAAAGGCGATGGGAAAATTGATCCAGAAGAATGGAAACAATATGTGGAAGACAACCCATCATTACTGAAGAACATGACTCTACCTTATCTGATGTATGTTCGAGAATCTATGGGAAGAGACATGCCTTTTTGCCCTTTTGTTGTATACGGCTCTGAATTGCTTTCGGTGAAAGTGTTTTCCTGCAATATCTACGAGTTGCCAGTATTATTAACATAGGCATGAGTTAGACTTTATTATTAATGATAAAGAGAATGCGAAAACTTCATCACACAACATAGATATGGTCAATAATGATACAGAGAAAGTGAAAACTTAATTAGCAAATTATTTGTTGCTCTTTATGATGGAAAAATTTTATGTCCATTTTGATCTATAGCACTGATCTAACTAACTAGTTAATTTCAGGGACGTGACTGTTGCATTTCCCAGTTTTTTGATGAACTCAGAAACTGAAGAATCACAGTTGTAGCTCCGACATGTAATGCTTAGCAGAATTGGCATTCCTTGTGGCTTCAGTTGCTGAGATATGAAAAGGTGGCAAAAACGCAGCAACTTTCTCAGAGGCAAGAAAAGTAGACAGCTCGCAAATATTTGACTCTTTTTAATCTCTGTGTTAGTGTATTTGAATGTAATTTGCTGGTCAAAAAAGTGTATTTGAATGTAATATTTCTGAAAGATGATATGAAGCATGAGAGCTAAAAAGGATTGACAAATTCAAGTGAAAAGTTGGCCCAATCCTTAGATGGACTCTGTATTGTCCTTATGTTTCACAGAATATACAATAATAAATAAATAATAATCAAAAGTCAGCATTAGGGCTGATCAATTGGAGGAAGAGATGAAGGCAAAGAAAAGAAAGGTCAGTTCCCCATGACAAATGGGCTATATAAATATATATATATATTTATATTATGGTAGAGGAAAGAACTTAGTTGTATGAGTAATGGGCCTTAACCTATTTTTGGACAAAGTAATGGGCCCTAACAATATTGATTTTTTTCATCCTAAAACAGTATTGTTTAATTTTTTTGGTTATGTATTAGAAACAATCCACTGTTGGATGCGAAATATAAACATCTCTTTTGATGTGTATTTGAATCTTGATTTGCTATGGTGTGAAGGGTTAACCTCTTCCATTAGATTCAAAACCTGTTGATATCTTAAACCCTTTCAAAATAATGTTCATTGAAATTATTAGCCTTATTTTGATCAATAGCCATATGTCAACCAGGCAGCATTTTCATCTTTTCATGTAACGATAAAAGGTTTAAAGCTCATTTGGTAGCGGGGAATGAAAAGAAAGGAAAAAGAAAAGAAGGGGAGCCATTTTGGTTTTTTTCCTTTTTTTTTGGGGGTGGGTTGTGTTTACCAGAATTTTGGTGGGATGAGTTATTTCATTGTTTCACTGGTTCCAATTCCTAAAAATCATTTTTCATCCTCTCTGAACAGGCATTTATGTTTTTTTTTTGTCTCTATTTTCTAATTTCTATCATATCAGGTATCGTACGGTAAAATATTTTCTGGCATAAATACTAAACATCATCTTCCCATATTTTGTTTTATTTTATCAAAATATTTTCTGTGAACCAAACCCAACGGAAGCTGAAAGATTCTACGAATTGTCAATATTTGGATCCATTTCATAATGTGCAAGACAAAAAACTTTAGAAGTTTCTTAAATCCACCTAATAATTAAAAGTCGAATTTTTACAAAAGCCCTTTTCATATGACGAGGCAAACAACGTTTTCTCCCCTCACAATGTTGCTTCCCCCACCCGCCCTTATTAATATTATGTGATCCTTTTTCAAAAAAAAAAAAAAGGAGACAAGGTAACAACGTCGGTGCCTCGGTGGCCCCATGAGAGGTGGCCACGCAAATTGATTGGATGACAACGGTCCATTTGCGTGTCACTCGCTGACTGGACCATCACTTCCGATATTTTCAAGTCTTTTTTTTTGGGAAAATTTCATTGTAGGACCGCAGAAGACAATTAATCTCAAAGAGCTCCCAAAACTTTCTGAAATCTCACTGCAGGACTAAGGGGCCAATCTGATATTAATTCCACAAACGAAATGACGCCACTGCCCCTAGTAGAAACTTATTTCCTTGAGGGAACAAGTGCGGGAGAGCGCATTTGCAAGGGGAACTAGCCAATTTGCAGAATAAATACATATATTCACACGTGGAATCAGTCCGTTCACATGTAGACTGGTTCAGTTGAAGCATGTGTCCGTGAGGAAACAAGTGCGGGAGAGCGCATTTGCAAGGGGAACTAGCCAATTTGCAGAATAAATACATATATTCACACGTGGAATCAGTCCGTTCACATGTAGACTAGTTTCACCTGATGCATGCGTCCGTGAGGGAACAAGTGCGGGAGAGCGCATTTGTAAGGGGAACTAGCCAATTTGCAGAATAAATACATATATTCACACGTGGAATCAGTCCGTTCACATGTGAACTGGTTCACCTAAAGCATGTGTCCGTGAGGGAACAAGTGTGGGAGATCGCATTTGCACGGGAAACTAGCCAATTTGCAGAAGAAATACATATATTCACACGTGGAATCAGTCCGTTCACATGTGGACTGGTTCACCTGATGCTAAGGGTAGTGGCGTCATTTCATTTGTGGAATTAATATCAGATTGGCCCCTTGGTCCTGCAGTGAGGTTTCAGAAAGTTTTGAGAGCTTTTTGAGATTAATTGTCTTGTGCGATCCTACAGTGAAATTTTCCCTTTTTTTTAATAAGATTTTCCACTTCTCTCTGTGAACTGAAGCTTGGAGGCCACTCCGGCTCGTGAGTCATAACGGCATCTTCGTACGAAATGAAGATGTCACGAAGCTTCCTTTTTAAAAAATAAAAATAAAAAATAAGAATATCGACCCTCGAAAGGGTTACTTCTTCCTTGTAAGACGCGCCTCTGTGAACAAGTTGCTGCTTGCTTCGTCATTGCCACAAACGCAAAAACGGGATTAGGTGACCCATTAATTTAATTGTAAAGATTTGATTTTTCGGGAAGCGGTTTTGGGATTGGCGTTCTACGTATGCATATAGAGCTAGGCGGCTACACGCGTCTATACCGTCTTCCGTATTTGTGCTTCTCAGTCAGAGTCAAATGGGATTTTTTTCCTTCTTTCACGATCTTTGAATGAGAATTCTACCTTCAAAACCTTTGGCTTCGTTCCAATCTGTACCAAATATACAAAACCCATTTCTGTTTGTTTTGCTATAATTGGTGATCAGCCTAGCCTGAAGCTTTCCATTTTCTTGGCATCAATTTCGTCTGGTAAATTTCTTCTTTCTTCGGCCTTGGAGGGTAAGAGTCTGCTCTCTTCTCCTCTCTGCGTTTCCGTGTGTTGTTCGATTCCTGATCTAATTGCGCAAGAAGTCCCTCTAGTTATTTTGGGGTTTCTTTTGGGGAAGAAATGAGGAATTAGGTCTTGGGAGTCTGAATATCTATTCCCCCCGGCCCCCCAAAAAAAAAAAATTCATTTATATCGTTGGAAGTTTCTTCTGGGTCGTGGTGATTATCACCCAGCGTCCCTAATCTTACAAACATGGCTGTATTATTGTGTAACTTATTGTGAATTTGAGGTTCAGGCTTAAATCACAGCCTCAACTTCGTTTGTTCAATCCTCTTGTTCATCACCTGTGAAAATGTCGTCCACTGGTGTGGCTGCTCTTAGTCCGGTTCGCATTGAGCTGTTGGCTCCAAATGTATTCCGTTGCCCATCACACTTGTCCCTGGATGATTCCATTTATATTTTTCTCTGTTTCTCGGGATCAGTGACTCCCATGCGTGTTCTGGAGTGTGATACTATTGAGTCTGTAAAACTCAAAATCCAAAATTGTAATGGGTTTTTAAAAAGGAAGCAAAAATTGGTCTGTGGTGGCCGGGAACTGGCCCGGAGTGATTCTTTACTCCGGGACTATGGGGTAACAGATGGAAATTTTCTGCATTTGGTCGTCAACTTGTCGGATCTTCGGGCGATCAGTGTGAAAACTTCTTGCGGCAAGGAATTTACATTTCATGTGGAACGAGGTAGGGATGTCGGGTATGTGAAGCAACTGATTGCCAAGAGGGAGAAACAGTTCTCTGATCCTGAACAGCAAGAAGTTCTGTGTAATGGGGAGCAGCTTGAGGACGAGAGGCTTATTGACGATATCTTTCTCAAACATAATGATGCAGTGTTGCGCCTGGTGATAAAAAAATCTGCCAAATTTCAGGCAAAGCCCCTTGAGAAGAATATTGAGTTGTCTGTTGTGGCAACAGGGTTGAGTGATAGGAAAAATTATGACACTGTTAGAAGCAGTAACAGATATGATGTTGATGAAGAAGCTTCCAGGGATATTGTGCTAAGAAAAACTCCTGATAAACATGTTCTTTTGGATCCAGTTATCCTTAACCCTAAGGTTGAATTAGCTTCAGTGGTTTGTGATATGATAAACTCAACATATGATGGCATAGAAAAAGGAAATTATCCAGTCAGATCTGCTGAGGGTACCGGAGGGGCTTACTTTATGATGGATTCAACGGGGCAGAAGTACGTATCTGTTTTTAAGCCTAGGGATGAAGAGCCTATGGCTGTGAATAACCCTCGGGGTTTGCCTGTGTCATTGGATGGGGAAGGCTTAAAAAAGGGTACAAGGGTTGGTCAAGGAGCATTCCGGGAAGTTGCAGCTTACATCCTGGATCATCCAATTAGTGGGCGTCGCTTGTTTTTTGGTGATAAGAAGGGCTTTGCTGGGGTTCCCCCCACAGTTCTAGTTAAGTGCCTCCATGATGGATTTAACAATCATGGGGACCTGACTGCTAAGATTGGCTCCTTGCAGATGTTCATGGAGAATAATGGAAGTTGCGAGGATATGGGCCCGGGTGCTTTCCCAGTTAAAGAAGTGCACAAAATTTCCGTGCTGGATATAAGGCTGGCAAATGCAGACAGGCATGCTGGGAATATTTTGATTGGTGCTGAAGGAGAAAATGACGGGGCTGAATTGATTCCAATTGATCACGGATACTGCTTGCCTACAAGTGTAAGTACATTATTTCATGCTTTATTTTTGGGTTTTAATGCATGTGGTGTTTATTTATCTGAAACCACCCCCCGGGGGGGCCAAAAAAAAAAAAAACACTGCAAGGTGGAAACTTTTTCATTCTTCCATTCTGGGTCATGGACTTTGTTTTTATGGCCAAATGCTGGATTATGGACTAGTTTTACTTTCCAGAATCCAGAATCCAGAATCCTATTGTTTCCAGCCTTACATGACATGTTAGTTCAATTTCTATCGTAACTTGGAGGGGACACGAGGGGTGGTTAGATCGATGTAAACTTCATTTTCTGCTCAAGAAATAGATACCTTAGTCTGATTTCTATTGTTATTTTCCTAAAACATTTATGACAGCCAGATTCCCATTTGCATGTTCTAAACCTTTTCATTAATATTCCCATGTTCTTTAGACAAAAGTTGGAACTTTGGAAAGGTCCACCAAACCCATATGATTCATTGGCTTTTCCAAGTCCTGTTTGAACTAACATATATGACATGTTTACCATTTCTACAGTTTGAAGATTGCACCTTTGAATGGCTTTATTGGCCCCAAGCTCGCCAGCCATACTCCCCAGAGACTATTGACTACATAAAGTCACTGGATGCTGAAGAAGATATCGCTCTTTTGAAGTTTCACGGATGGGACCTCCCCATTGAATGTGCTCGAACTCTTCGAATCTCGACCATGCTCCTGAAAAAAGGGGTGGAGAGAGGGCTGACACCCTTTGAAATTGGAAGTCTGATGTGCAGAAAATCCTTGAACAAGGAATCAGTGATCGAGGAGATCGTGCAAGCCGCGCACGATTCGGTTCTACCTGGAATGAGCGAAGCAACGCTGCTTGATACTGTTTCCCATATCATGGATCAGCGCCTTGATGAGATTTCCAGTTCACTCTCTTGATTGTAGTTAAATCATGTATCAGGCACAGGGTTCGTACACAAGTTTATTCTGTACATGTGGTTTAGTACATACGTATTACTCATATGATTTGATTTTTTTTTAGGTCATGACAACATTCTTTCATCGCAATGACTTTCTAGGTCTGGAATCTTTTATTTCCCACATTTCACATATATCTTCAAGTTTGTGTGTTTTTTATTTCTTTCCCAACCTTGAATTCCAGAGATGCCTGAGGAATCCTTTACGTTTGATATTTGTAGTTCAATATGATTATGTTAAAAAAATTCCCGTGCGACTCTTCGTGTTAGGACTTGAAACTCCAAGGTTGGGAGAAAAGTTGCAGTGTTGTGTTGACAGATGGATGAGGCAATTACATCACAAAATCGGCAAATTTCTTTCTGTTGTGTACCAAAATGCCCACGGATGCACTGTAGCAACTTAAAAAAAAGAAGTAACAATAGTGAGTTTTTAATTATACATTCACCACCAAGTTATTGTTTTTCTGAAGAAAATATGGAAGTAAACATTTTCTATAGCTTTTTAATTTTGCTCGAGCCCTGAACATTTTTTTTGTAGTTTACTATTGCAATATTTTACTCTAACCAAATTCTTACGAAATGTTTTTTAATTGAGAACATAGCGACAACAAATGCCGAAGGCTGCACAAATTTTTTATGCAAAAATGCTCTTTCAGAGTGCGGGAACAAGGTTGGCAAAATGTAAGACTCTTTCCTTCTAATCAAGGAACAAAAATCGGATTGGATACTAAACTAGCTGAAATAGTGGTTCAAGGGTCAGTTGGTCGGACCGGTATCAATCCGCAGTCCAACTGATCATATTAAAATAATATAATTTAATTTAAAAATAATAAAGTATAACAACATTAACAATCACTAATAACAAAATATAAAAAAAAATATAATAATAATTTGATTGTAACAATCACAAAGTATAACAACATTGAGAATTTTGATCTTTATGATTCATCATTAATTAAAATTAATAATCATTGATACTAAAATTATCATTAAAATTCATTTAAATCTATAGGGGTTGATATATTAGAAGATGCATAAGAAAAAATAGGACTAATAACAACCTAATCATACAAATCGGTTTATTACCGATTCACACCGGTTTGACCGGTTTTTTACCAGTTCAACTTCCTCCTGGTTTAGTATCCAAACCGAACCGATCCACTCACTGATTCACCAATTTACCAGTTGAACTAGGTGGTCCGAATCGATTTTTTGTTCACTGCTTTTAATAGATACCATTTTGCTTTCTTATTAAAAAAAAAAGAAGGGGGTGCAAGAAGCAGGACTATTGCTTGTAACATGTCACTATTGGCAAGAGGCTACTAACGATGGGTAGAATGGAAGTTAAAAGACCCATAGCTCTTATTACTAAGAAATCAACCCCTTATGGCGAAATAAGAAAGTCAATCTCTAAAATCAAGACTTTTTAAGGACTAATATTTTTACGGAGTAACCTTCCATGCTCTGAAAAGTTACCATATAATCTTTTCAATGTCGTAAAGGTGTTTTAAAATTTATTGCTGCCTCTAAATAAAAATCTTTGTAACATCCAGAAAAAACAAAAAATTTTGAAAAGTATGAGTAGTAATTGAAGACATTATTATAATTGATTTTTATAATTTTTTTTTAAAGAGTTACAATCTTTGAAAATTTTAACTGTAATTAACATAAACCATGGGTCTTTTAACTGTTATTTTTCATTAAATGAGACTGGAGAACGAGGCAACTTGCTTGGCTGCCAGCCCCTTTGCAGTTTTGACTTCTCCGCCTTCCAGAAACCATGCATGCACCTGGGACTCTGAACAAAACTGAGACTATAATATTATTAAACTTATTATTCGGGGACAATTTGTCAGGTCAACGTATGTGCTGGAAACAGCCTCAAGAAAGCAGCCAGGCAATTACGGTACGGATGAAAATTGCAAAATAGGTTTTTCCATGAAGCGCGAGTTTTAAACAAGTTCAAGCACCAATTCAAACAACACATTCAAACCTCCTTGGACGGTTAGTGAACTACTTTTAGTTTTTTCAATAATCAGATGTAGATTTTTTTTTTTTTTGGCCTGGAAAGAAGCAACTTGCTGCAAATAACTTTCCCTCTTGTATATGAGCACAAGTATCTTTGGATCCACCATAACACAAGCATAATCCCTATGTACAAAGACAGAAAGTAACTCCATCTATAACAACAGCAACATCTATATAGGACTTATACAATAGCTAATTAGCCATAATTTTCTCAACTACAAACAAATACAAAAAAGCTTGAAGGTTCATACCATGTCTTCCTTCTTCTCAGCCATTGAGCAACTGATGATCTCTGTTTTGCAGCTCCGCCAGGGTCTAACATAATCCAGAGGAAGACCAACAGGCCACGCAACTCTATTCTCCATGGGACTTGATTGAGTGTTTAGGCATTAGGTTCTCTCAGAAAAAATAATGACACGTGGAAAAACTTGTTTAACAGACTCAACATATATAGTGCTAAATTGTTATAAGATATCCACTTGTCACGTTTTTATTGGAGAACCTCATAGTAAACATGTGAAAATTGAACCAAAGTTTTGTCCTTCGCTGTGTTTATCAAATTTCATTCTTCAATTGTGAATGTTTCCCCTGTAAAACTCTGGTTTGTCTTCAAATGGCGACAACGTCAATCTCAGCCATGTCAAGAGTCGCTATCACTTGCTGGGTTTCTTCATCTTTCGCTTCAACCTTGCATTAGATTATAGACACCAAATAAATACAGTATCCACATGGAAGATACCGAGAACTTAAAGAAGCAGATCATGAGGTAGTATTTGAGGTTATACTGCCTACCAATTACCATGCAGAGTTGTGAAACTAAACTACATATAAATACCTCTTAATGGAGCGGTCATTGAAACCAAATACGCCTTTCATTAATGAGTTTATATCCACAGACTGCTCCTTCATAACCATATCATGGTACATTTTTGCTGCCAATTTCAGTAATTTGTTCTTCCACTTCTTCAAGAGGTTGATCTATATTGAGCTTAAGTTCCCCTTTCTTGATGACAGTAACACCAAATCCATTTGCTTTGGCTTCTCGGAAAGCATCCTGTGATATGTAATTACAGCTCAGAAAGAATTTCAAAATAAAAATACCTTGAAGAAAAATGAGAAAAGCTGGTTAGGCATGAGAGATATCCTTATGGACCAAAGAAATGAAAGCTGAAACTTCTAAGATCAGGAGAGATTATAAGATGCACTAAAAATATCACATTGCGAAACAGAAGGACAATAAACTAAAAAACAGTAAGAGAACTATGGCTTCCTCTATCCAAATCTGCAATAATTTCCAGCGGACAAATGGAAAAAATGGATATATGGAAACCTCAGCATTAGTATGAAAGTTAAATATAACATGATATATGGAAACGGGAAACCTGAACACTAATATGAACAAACTCAAATATAATACTTTTGGGGGTTGCGCAACAACGAAGGCCTGGCCATTTCCAAGCATATCCATATGAGCCTGAATGATGTAACAAAGACTTTTACAGTCACCAGCATCTTGGAAAGCAATCACATGAAGTGGCTTAGGTTCGACTTCAAGATCATTAGCCATCTCTAAAGAATAAAAACCTACTCTCTGTTCTCCATCATCAACTGTATACAATTCGATGCACTGGAATAAAATTTAAAAAAAAATTAATGAAATGACATTAAAAAACCTGAACAGGAGGATACGCCAGTCAATTACCTTAAAATACAAGATACATACCAGTACATAAGGAAGATCTAACCACCATAGGTAATCTTCTTCTCTTTCGTCTGCATATTCACGATATTTGCTCACCACAGCTTGTGGTCCAAACAATTCCATTTCTCTTTTAACTTTGTTGAGCTTCTTTTCTAAAATACTTCTGTTCCTATCAGGTATCCTGTTCATCAATTCAGCAGCCTCATCTATTTCTTTTTCGGTAATCCATCGATCCAAGTCCTTCCCAATGTCTTTCATTGCTGATTTAACTTCTGGATCTGTCTCAGCATTGTAAGATTCCAAAAACCCTTGGGACCATTTCTTTGTGTGCTGCCAATATTCCTTCCCTGATTTTTTGCCAGCTTTGACAGAACCATCACTCCCTTCAACAACAGTCTTTGAATTTATCTGATTCTTATCGTGAACTTTCATTAAATCCCTGGTTGCTACGTAGTCTCTAACGTTTTCATGAGAAGATACAGCAGCTGAATTTTCAGCAAAGCCATTATCATCATTCTTCACGGGCTTCATCTTGCTGGTGGAACTTTTCTTTCTTTGTTCGAGAAAGTCATTGAGGAAGTCAGGAATTTTCTCAATTGGTGGCCCCTTCCAGCGTGGTATGATTTTCTCTGGTGGATCATATAAACTAATGCCATCTAGAGGACAAATAATTAAAAAAGAAAAAAGAAAAAGAGAACCATTAGCAAGGTGCTTCAAATTAATAAAAGAAATGCTGGCTAATAAATCTTAAAAAATTGATTATGCAAAAATAAGCCTATAAGAAATCAAAGAGCATTAATTGCTACTTTCCAGTTTATGCACTAGAACTGGCAGCAACAAAAAGGATGTTGGTTACTCAGAAATCAAAAGGTTCATTAGATTCTAAATAAAATTCTCATGGAAAACTAGCTACTACCTGCTCCATAATCAAGATTTTCAATATTTGAATGAAGCCATTCGTGGAGGTAAGAAAGCTTTGTATTTTCTTTCTCCACCTTTTCTCAAGACCTCTGAAAAATGCTTCTTTATCTTTATCATTTATCAAATAAAAGGGTCACGCCCAGCCAGTTCATTATCACGGACTTTAAAGACAATGTCTCTAAGATGCTCATTTTGCATCCAATCAAATTCTCCACCATCTTCAAGCGGTTCCATCTCAGTAGTTATATCTAAAGGTTGATCAACCCTCTCTTTTGCGGCCACATAGTTATCTCTAAATCCAGCTCTGATTTTCTTAATTATGGGCTCAACTTCATCAAAGTTCTTCTCCAACCAACTTTCTGTCTTGCTGATAGATTTGTCTCCGTATTGACACCATTAACTTCACGGTCTAAAGAGGTCTCAGAATCCTGTGGATCTCCCACTTCATGTTCAACCTCAGAATCTTTGATGTAGTCATTTTTCATTATATCAAACTCCTTATCCTTCTGATTAGAATCTTCACCAGCATTTATGGAAGGCGTTAAATCTGACATCCCAACTACAGCACTATTTCTGGGCACTCCAGTATTCATCTCCAACAGTTGGCTCTCTTGACTCCTAGAATCATTATCAGTTGGAGATCTCAAATCATCCATATTATCATTAATGATTTGCATTCTGGACTCTCTTCTAACCTCTTGTTTGTCATCTTTCTTTGAAAGGTATGCCTGAGCTTCTCTCACTGATCTTATGACCAGTGGTTTATCGTTTGTAAAACTTTCTTTTGTCATACACGAATCATCAATGGTTGTATCTGGGAGCTGGCTGACTTCCTCATCCTTTGGCTGCACGGTACTTTGAGAAAGTTCTGTTTCCTGTTTATTGGGTTCTTTATCATTCGAATCCGCTACATTTGAAGCTTCCAGCTTAAATCTATCTGCAAGAACTACGTCATGCAAAAATGAACTCTCCAATTTTTCCGTAACATCTATGCATGGTGTTTGCAGAGTTGCATCTATATCCACTGTTTTACCCACAACATCATTTTGATGCTTACTTGAACTAGTATCATCTTCAGTGAGCTTATGGACAGCATCCACCTCATTAGAAGTTTCCCCATTGAGCAAGTCATCCATCTCCCTACTGGTGCTACCTAAGGACTGAATTTTTCCTTCAATTTCCCGAGCCTTCCTAGCCATATCTCTGATTTCTTGAACTTTAGAGGTCATCTCATCAGATGTGGCTGTCGTTTTAAAGGATGAATTCCCAACTACAATTTTATCAGCAGAGGCTTTGGCTTTCATGATGTTATTCTTGAGCTTTTCCTTATCTAACTTGGGCTTTTCAATGTGTAACATTGATGGCTCTGAAGCTTCTGAAATACCTCCACAGTGCCCTTCAACATCTGTTTCTCCTGTCTTGACTTTATTTTTCTCCTCATCATTTCTTTCTCCATTTCTGTGTATTGAGTTTCCTTGTTTTTGAAAGTAAATAGTTCTTTCAGTGCCCACATGAAAACAAAAACACACAACACTCTGCTACCAACTCGTGAAAGCTTGGGGAGCAAGTCCCGTTGACTGGCAAAACCTTGGATGGTGTTGACGAAACCAGTCTCCTCGCCTTGAACCACAAACTTAGCTACAGAACTATTTTTTGGTATGACATTATTATCATTCTCCATCTCCTCAGCCAATCTTTTGGCAGACAATATTTTGTAATTTACATCTGGAAAGTCCTCAATTTCTTCTGGCCGAACTTGTCTTCTCCTTAATATTTCTCCTTCATCAACTGACACCCGTTTAACATTCCCTGAAGAATCCTGATAAACTGTAAATATTGGATAAGACCCTATGCCCCAATTCTCAACATCCTTCTTGTACTGATCTACCCAATTCTCCAATTTATCCATCAAGACAGATTCGCCCAAAAGTTTCGATTTTTCTTTTTCTACCATAACGTTTTCAATCCCATTGTGATCAGACACTCCCTTAGCAACTTCTTTTTCTTCCATTCCATTATTATTCGAGTTCTCCTCTAAACTGCCTATATCACTAAATCTATCAGATTTTGGGTCAGTGAGATTCTCATTTAGACGCACCTGCTGGTCCTTAAGGAGCTTCTTCCTCAGCGAGTTGCGGCGTTTGGTGGGTCGGCCGAAGTGCGCCCAAGTCTGAAAATTTCTGCTGCTAGAAATGGATGCATAGATTGGAAATGCGTTTCTGTGAAATCTCATGCATAGCTGGATTCCAGATAGATTAAGTTTTTGGATCGAAACATTAAGAATTCTCATCGAAGAATATAGAGAAGCTATAACGAGAGAACAGTCAAGCTATGGAACTATGGCACAATCGCTTGCTTGAGTGTGAATTGAATCGCGTGACATGGAGCGATAGGCGAGAATGGTTTTGCAGAAACCTCAGAGTCGAAGGTCTAAAACCTCAGAAACGTAACATCAGCTTTTGGCTAACATTCAGGTCGCCCGTCGTCCTCCTGGCCGAGGGTGGAAAAGCCGGTACGTCGTCGTATGTTGCCTCGAGGCTCAGCCTTCGGGTTACTCTTGTTTAAGAGGTGCTCTCGGATGAAAATAAAAATATTGATTTACAAAAAAAATATTTTTTTGGTAATCCAAACCCTTTTTAATCAATTTTTCGTTTGATGAAAATCATTTTTATGAAAAAAATGGCCAGAAAATTTTTTGGCATAGTACTTCACAAAAAGTAGAATGGTAAAAATATTTTAAAATCGAAACGCTCCCCAATCATGACGTCGAGAATTATTTCAAACTGATTTTGCAAAACTGATTGTTTTAAACTGAGTTTTCCCGAACTCATTTTTTCAGGAATAGCCAAACATGCAATAAACACTAGTAACTTCTGGGGCCAAGGGTTAAGGAAAGCTTCTCCACGAATTTCGCGTATGATTACAGGATGACGGATATAAATCCAAAAGAGATGAGGATATATCATAGATGCATTATCTTTCAGGTTTATAAAACCTTCATCATCTGCTGTAACTCGATACTTTTCTTCAGAAGCACAAAACTTAAGGTAGAACTTTTACGCGTTTGTTATCAGATTCTCCAATAAGAACACAAGAAGTGAGGCTTCTTCCTCCTAATTTCATCGCTGCATAATGCGGAGTGAAAAGTTATTTTACATGTCATGGGGTTATTTGAGAATCTGATAGCAAGCACATGGGAAATTTTTCCTGAGTGTAATTCATTCCAAATTATCTACAAATAGCAATCACATCACTCCTTAATCTCTCCATTTAACTACAGAGATTGGGTATGCACACTCCGCCTTCAGGATTTTGCTGTTCTTTCCAGATCCTTCCAGTGACTCGTAGCTTCAACTCTTTCCTGTCCCCACCTGAGAAGAAAAGTGCCATGTTTCTGTACACAATGAGGCCATCATGGCTGTCTCTAACTTTCTTATGGCTGTCTCTTATGCTTCTTGGGCTGCCCTCCCATATTTGTTTACGTCCATTCCCTCCTATCTCCAGACTGTAGCTGTAGCTCCGAGCTTCTCTTTCGTCGCCCATGAACCGGAGAAATGCCATGTAAACAGGAGCCATACCAAGCTGAAAGGCTTCAAAATGGAGACAGAAGTACTGACCAAAACAGTGGAAGACCTGCAGAGTAACAGAGACAACTGCAAATTAATTTGGATCATATCTTAAGATATACAAGTTCGTTCTGCTGCCTGCATGATATAAATGAATATGAGCAAGAAATGCATAGCTGAGAACATTGTATGAACCAAGTTCAAAGAGGGGAAACTATACGCAAAATTCATTTTCCTTTTTGATTTTCAGGATCTGCTACAATATACTCACCGTTAACATCCATGTAGCATTTTCTACTTCCACAGGATTAGATTTGACATAGCGATGGTTAAATGTGCATCCTGAATGCATATCAACCCTGTGGTCATCCCGTAAATGAGCAACGAGATATGGAATATCCCCAACAACAGAACAGTCTGACCCAGCATAGGGGCAGTTGTATGGTCTGAAGTTACAAACAGACTCGTGTTTGAGTTTGCTATAATAGGGAAATATCTCTGGACAGCCAAGTGAGCCGTATCTGCAAGGCAGTTCAAGTGATTCTGCTATTTTCTCCAGCGCCAGACACCTTATATCCCAGTTCCTGTCTACAGGTTGGACATCGATTGTGTACCCTTGTCTTACAAGTTGAACAAAGTGTATGCCCATTGTGACACTGCGGAAAAAATTTTGATCAAATATCAGTGACTGCATTATGGACATCCTTGATCCCATTTATCAACCTATAGGCATCGTTATAAGAACCATAAAACATAGTTTTAAAGATAACTTTTCTCCCTTTCTGGATAGTTTTAAGTATCATTTTTACTTTTTCTGAAGCGGGCATGAGCTTTAAGTATACTCCAAAACTCACATCACTTCTTACAATACGAGAAAAAACTGACAGGAATGCACCATCAGTTGCTCATATGGACTTCAGCACACTATAAGTTAAAGAAATAACCAGAATGTTAACACACTTTAAGCTAGAGTAATAACCAGAAGCTGATTCACAACGTTGGATTCAGAACTTTGGCATTATAACCCCCTCAACGTCCACATTCTTATATCTAGCTTCACGCTCTGTACACTCCAATGTAATATTAAGCCTAACCTGGGCATGAACTATGAAGCAGGGAGCTGAAGGCCCATGTTATAGCCGCTAATTGCTGTCTCCAAAGAACCTAAGTCACAGAAAGGTACTTACCCATCACTTATAACTCACAAGATCACGACTCAACACAAGCGTGAGGTCAAGAATATTAATACATCTTGCCCATTAAACAGTAAAACCAATCAATTTTTAATCCCTTATAAGCCACCCATGGTAAACCCTTGGAATAAACCTTCTTCCTCCACTCTTTTGCAGAGTAATGTGAATACGATTGGGTTGAAGAGAGGTAAGCCTCTGCCATGAAATTGAGGTTTCTAAGTGAAGCACTCATCTGGCAGTACCAAAGGGATAATGGAACTCGCGAAATTCCACAGATCTGGATGAATGGGAAATGTTCTTTAGGACTGAAACTTTTCCCATTACTAACCATATAACTTTACCTTATCCCCGGAACATTGAAGTCGTCCAGGAAGCAAAAATCAAATTAAGGATCTTACTTCAACCAACCACAGGTATTCAAAAGAATCAAATTTTTAAAACTGAAATACCAGCAAACACAAGTTTTAATTGCGAATTCCCTCCATCACAAATACCTAAGATTTCCAATGCAACCATGATCCAAAAATGCTAAGCTCACAGTTAACATAAAAGAAAATTTATAAAACTGCTATATACATAACCTAAAAAAATACACTAGCAAATAAGATGGTAACCACACAAATCGCATAAATGGAACACAGAAAGCAACAAAGTATCAAGTCAACAGAAATAAACAGCAGGATCGGAGGAACCCTTTGATGCAGATGGATTAAATAGAAGACCTGATGGATTGGAGGATACATTGAACTGGTGCAAACAGGGCATTCAAGCAGCTCGTGGACACTGGTAGTACCAGGACCATTGTTATGCAGCTTCGTGATCGAAGAAAACTGATGGGGAATATGCTCATCATCATCCATAGTCAAGGATGATACAGTACTATCAAGGCTACTGGATTCCATTCTATCACCTAAAAACATATGATCAGTTCGATCGTGGGTATAACTCCCCCGAATCGCCCAGCCAATTCAAACACCAGAGGACCAAAAAACGATATCAAGAAGAAAATCGAAGTGGGTCCGAGAGCTCGCGATACTTGAGGAAAGAACACGAATTTAGAAGATGCCCGGGGGGGGGGGGGGATTTTTTAAACTGATTGATTTAAAAAAAAAAAAAACCAAATAGGATGCTTTTCTTCTTGGGTTCTCCCAGCACCCGAACAGGGGTTTCCAAATTCAAGGGATTTGAGTAAAAGCAGAGAGGGCAAGGTTAGAGAGGAGAGAGAGAGATTCAATAGGGAGAGAGCGGAAGCAAGGGAGGGAGGAAGGGAGGGAGGCAATTATTATTGGGATTGGCACCCATAGGAGCAATAAGAGCAGTGATTTATTAGTGGGACAGGCAGATGATGGAGTTTTATACTTTTACTATTATTACAGTGATAATAAGTGGAGGAATAACTTATTTAATTAAAAATTAATTGCCTAACACTAAAAAACAAAGATGCCAATTAACTGCATTTTTTTTTTCCGGCGACAAAGATGCCAATTAACTGGATTTGGTTCCGAACTTCTGCGATAGATTTTCCACCTTAAAACTCATAAGCATAGCCTTCGCTCGACGGCACGGCTACTCCTGAAGAGCGGGCATGGTTCCCCCCCCCCCCAATTTGAGTGTCATTAAACATGAAATACTTCTAAAAAATTATATTAAAAAGATAGCTTTTTATTATAGTACGAAGTTTTTGTTTTTGCCACTACTTTTAAAATTTGAACTTTAGATCCACTAACAAGTTCATTATGTATTTTTCTTATTTTTGATAGTTTGATTTAAAGTTACTAAATAAATATATTTTTAATATATTTTTTCATTTCTCCAACATTTCTTTTCAAATTATCCTTCTATTTGAATATGATAAGTTTTGTAAAATAAAATAACTTTATAGTAATTGAAGAGACATGATTGTAAAAGAAAAAGAATCCCCTCTTTCTTGATCTTATACAGCAACATCTCAGAAGCAAACATGTAGAAGAAAATAGAAATGAACAAATCTTTTGATCAATTTCAATTTATTTGGAAAAGAAAATTAGGCCATTAATAATTAATTATTTAATTGCAACTAAAAAATGATTAGATAGAATAAACTAATTAGTAGCCCAACATTGTCCCTCAGAATAGGATTTAAATGTTTAATTAGCATAACTAGCTTGCTAATTAGTGCTCCAAACTTGATCCAAGCCAAAGCGTAGGTCAAAATGATCGGCTTATTGACTTTGAATTGGTATATATGTAACTCAATTCAAACTTTTATTTAATGAAATGTCATCAATTTTAACATTCTTCCATTTTTTTTATTTGACCAGAGACATTCTTCCATTTATCATAATGCTCAAGACTATTTCCAAATGGTCATCGGGATTTTCAATCAACTTATTATGTAAAAATAGAAAGAATTATAACTGTTATATCACAATACATTTACTATTTGTTTATTGATGCCACCATCAATTTGTTTTTCTTTTCTTTTTTACAGTTAATTTACTTTTTTTTGAATTTTGTATGATTTTATAAAATTTGCTTATAGAATTTCAATTTGCTTATAGAATTTCAATTTTTTCCTATGTTCACTTGACTACATTGTTTTAAATTTTAATCATTTTTATGGGTCAATTTTAGAATACTCAATCCATCATTATTTTAATTAGGATCTATTAACTGTTTTATATAAATTAAGAAAACTGATTAAAATTAGTTGTGTCAAAAATTTGTATAAGTTTGTTACAATTATTCATAATTAAGTTAGAGATTGAAAAAATTAATAAAATCACATGTTCATAAATCACAATCATAAACATTCACTCTCATGTCGGCCTCTTAATTTATATCCATGAGAACAAAAGAAATATATTATAACTAATTTTAAGAGTTACTCCTCCGATCCTTATTATAGGACTTAATTTTTAAGTTAATTTTGTCCTAAATATAAGACTTATTTCTCATATTTATCAATTTTTCCTAAATTACTCCTATGGATACTCCTTTAACTATAACTAAGTAAGTGAGGGAGGGATAATATTAAGAAAAATGATTATGGTGTTTTAGGAAGAACATGTCATATTTCTTATAATTAACTAACTTACCTAACTACCTTAATATAATCAAATTAGTTAAATATATTTTATATTAAGGACAGGAGGTCGGAAGAGTACATTTTAATACAAAAAAAAAATTAACTATCAACATCCTCAACATCAAGCAAGCAAAATTTAATACTATCTCTAGTTCTTAATATAAAGATTATTTAACTAATTTGTATAAACTAAGAAAATTAATTATATTAGTTATTTGTAACAAATATAAGTTGATTTATCTAAAGTAATTTTTTAATTATGATTATTAGTCTTAGATGAAAACCGCTATAATATATGTAATTAATAATGATACTTTAGAGAATGAATTATAAATTTAAAAAACAAAGTGAACTGAAATATTATATTTAGGACTAAATTCAATTATTAACTAGCTTTTATATTAAAAAATAAAGGTAGTAGTTAAAAATTCAGACCTTTTCACACTTACTACGTCTTATATACAAGTAACGGCATAATATTCTTGGTACATGTGATTCTTCAACAACGTACCTTGTCTGAGGTGAATGAATTCTTCTTATCTAGCATTTCTCGTAAATTTGTTCCCTTAAATATAAAATCAATAAGGATAATATATTAAAATTAGATCACATGAATTAAGGATTAATCTTCTTCATGTGCAGGCATATGATCTCAACAGTAAGAGAGGTTTGCGACAAAAAACATAGGCATCAGATATGACTTGGAATCAACGTTACTTGAGAGCCAAAAATCAGGACACAAGAGTACGAAAGATTCTATAATATAAAATCATCTACTTTCGGCTCTCGAGGCAACGAACTTCCCAAAGTAATAACAAACAAATACCCTTGTGAGCCACCACAAGTGATCCCCAAAACCACCAAAAGCTTCAGTATGGTGCCAACGGGCAAGGGCATATCACTATTTCCCTATTTACTCTCCACCATTCTCTTCATTTTTGTTCGCATCAAACATTATCCTGCTAGATAAGACTAGTTACAATTTCTTCATCGATCCATATAATAAAGATTTGACAAAGTTTTAAATTGATTGTTGAAAATCTAACACAACCCTCCTCTTTTATTCCTCCTTCATTCCAGTTTGGGATTAGCTATAATATATAGGAGGAGTTACAATTAAGTCCTAGAAAGGATTTAATTACACTGAAGTCCATTGATAACTGAAGAGCATGTAACGACAAGTTTCAGAGTAAAAAATGATAACAAGTTCATGATAGTCATTTGTCATTGAAACTTCTTGGTAATTAAATTTCTTTCTTAGGACCTTACGATAATTCTCCCTAAAATCTAGGTGGAGTTGTTTGGTAATGTAATAGATTAAGTTAAGATTTAGAAAAGAACACACATAAAGTATTGGAATTAGGAGATGAAGTCAGACTACAAAATGAAGTGAATTTCAAAAAGTTTTGGCTTAAAGTGATCATACATCAGGTAAATTTTGAGATCTGCACAAAAGAGAAATAAAAGTGAGAATAGTGAAACCCACTCATAAGCCTTCTTTATCTTCTTGCACTCTTCTACTAGAGTCCCTTATTCAAAAGAGAATCCTAACTTGATTGTATGATTGGCTAGCATCCATCTGACGGTGGGATAGGGGAAGCAATTTAGCACTAACTGAACTCATCAAGTCCACCACCACCAGTACAGTTGGGATGCTTATAAATGTGGGATAAACTAGGTGAGAAGCCCTTATGTTATCATTTAATTTAAGTACTCTTGGCACTGCTAAAAGCACCGCCCCAAGAATTTCTCAGTTCAAGCTACATTTACTAATTTGTCATTTAACATGGCTGAATTAATCAGATTTCTTTTCTTTTCTTTTTTTCGCCCCTTAGATTAGTTAAAGAGACTTGGCATTTTGCAGGTGTAAAGTTTGATTTTCCTCTTGCTAATTTTTCCTCATAGGTATCAACAAAGGCATCTCAATCTCCGTTCATTCTAAAGATGGGCAAAGTAAGCCAAGACTCACAAGAGCCTCAACTCTTGTCAAATGGCAGTTTGAGGTTCAAAGAGTTTCCCTAAAGGCACAATATGATATCAAAGTATAATTTTGTAACTCGATACAATTAGTCCAAATCGTAGTCATCTAGCACTGGCACCTATTATGTACAAAAGGTTCTTACAAAAATTGTGGAAATATGCTGAGAAAATATCACACCAACTAGCCCCAGAATGGCTTATCTTATTCCTTGGTGAGCCAAAACCAATCTCTAAAGTGGAATGAATGTACAGATAAGTAGTTGCATAAATGAGTAAATTTCCTTAATCCAACAAGGCAAGGTTTTACTTGACGTATCCGACCCTGACTTTTGACTACAAGTAATCCTACATGCTCAAATTGAACCCAATCTACCATTGGTTCGGGAAGGCCTCTCTGTATTTTGCATCCTCACTAGCATCGTGCTGCCTAGTGGTAGCATCCCTAGCCCGCGAACTCAGAAGCTTCCCGGCTATTCTGTCTTTTGATGTTACTTTCTTTCGAAGCATGGATGCAAGAATTCTCTTGTTGTCTCTGGAAGATAAATTCCCTTCATTAGTCACATCCCCATCTTGTCCAAGCGATGCAGATCTGGAAGTAGAAGCCAAAGCGGCATTGCGTAAAACTGATTTGTTGTGTTCCCGAATTTTGGCAAGTTTTGCACGCTTCATCGTCTGTTTATCAATTTTTCGCTTCTTTGCCACCTCTTCATCTATTTCACGAACATTCTTCACTGCTTGTTTAGCCAAGTGCTCCGCTAGATCAATCCCCAAATCAACATTTACCTTGTGTTCGGATGTGCTCTGATTGAGTGGCTTTCCTCCATCATCCATCTTGTGTTCAGATGTGCTCTGATTGAGTGGTTTTCCTTTATCATCTATCTTGTGTTCGGATGTGCTCTGATTGAGCGGCTTCCCTTCATCATCCCGAGGAAGGATAGGTCCATGAAATGGACAAACTCTCAAGTCTCTTCTCTGACATAGCCCTCCTTTCCTCAAAGGAGCACGACATGGTTGGATCTCCTCTTGCTTCTCTTCATAAAGTGCAGCATGAACATTCAATTCAGCAATTTTATCAGCTGGGATAACAGCATCAGAGTCCACCCTCCCCCAATGATTTTCAAGTTCCAATCCACGCTGGTTAGCCATAAAAACCCTGCTTGAACCCCAATCATCCAAGTGAGAACTCCACCTTACCACAGGAGCTTCAGCCAGAAGTTCGCTCCTTGGAGAGTTTGAGTCTACTTCATTCCTTCCATGAGCTAGGCGCTTGGCGTTAGAGCTGTTAGACTCTTTATCTCTTGAACTGAGAGCACTGCCATTCACTTTATGGGTAGTTGATGCCATGTCAAGATGTATGTCTTTATTCTTGGGAGCCCTAGATGCAACTTCATTAGCTACAACATTACCCTCCTCCCAAAAATCTTCTTCCTCACTATGTTTTGATGAGTTTTGAAGAGAACATCCAGCCTCTTCACATTTCTTTTGAACTGATTTCAGATGATTACGAATGTCAATGAATTCCTTCAAAGTGGAATCTCTAAATCTATTGTCAGCTACTTCAACTCTTACTAGAACAGAAATCCATTCTTGGACAGAAATCAAATGCTTTGTCATTAAAAGCTTGTACAATTCCCTCAATGCATCAAAAATCACCTTGTTATCACTGTTCTCATGAACTTTCTCTCCTTCTTTTATGGCATCAAGACGCATCTGCCGCAGCTCAGAAGAACCGAAGAACTCTTCCACTTCATCATCTAAGATATCATCTTGCATAAAATCCTCTGTTGAGTTCAAAATTTCCAAACATTCTCCAATCTCATCCACTGTGGATAGTATTTCTCCCTTTATTGATGATAGATTCTGTCTCAAATGTTCATATTTGTTCAACAAAATTTCTTTCGACCTTCTCTCTCTTTCCCTCCTCTCTTGTTGCATCCGCTCCACATTGGCCTGTATGTTAGGAAATTGAAGCCTAAGGGTATTCTTTAGGTAATCATGCCCTAATCTGAGCTGTCTGTAATGAATCCCAAAAGAGTGGTTCCATTTTTCTAAGAATTCAATGGCCTTTGAACGTAAAACAGATGCAACAGCTGGGGGAGCAGGTAGTGGCAGATTTCTTCTGAATCCGATGCTCAAACTCAGTAGGTGGTCCAAATTCTCAACAAGAAGGGTTCTAAAAAGCTTTGATCGCATGAACAGTTCATCAATTATTAGAAGTGTGAGGTACCTAACCTGCAACATGCATCTATCAAGGTCATAAACTTGTTTTTCGTTATTCAGATGATAAAGGAGCCTCAAAAGTTAAAGCCTTTAATATGGAGAACCACTTAAATGTCCCTAAGAAGAGCACCAAAGGGTTTAAGCTAAGTACTACCAATCTCCGTAATTCTCATCAGTGACTTGAAAAATGATTGCAATGATAAATGGCAAGAACCAGTACAATGACAAGAAATCATCTTTTATTGACAACCTCACATGATGAAAATTTCCTGACGTTTGAAGATGGCAGATGGAATGCTCAATTCATGAGTCAAATGAAGACTGCCTAGCTCAAACTTGTTTAAACTTGTTCATCCAGTAATTCAGAACCTCTGGATTGTCAACAACAAATGATGTTTTAATCATATAAACGCACTCGTATCTCATGTCATATAGACGCATTGAGAATGATAAACTTGTTCGTATAGCAATTTGAAAACGGCAAACAAAAGACCCAACAAAAAAAATTCAAAGATTCAATCTCCCATAACAGACATGATTCGGACGTTCACGACTAAAGTTGCAAATTTACGGAGCATTTTCTCGGTATTTAAAGTGCCAAAATTGAATCAAGCCCAAATTGAATAACAAAAAACCAAAAAAAAAATTGACTAACAGAATCAATTCATCCACAAAACTGCAAAATTAAGTGTAAGAACCTGAGAGTGATCTCGCTTCATGAGGTCTGTAAGTGTTTCGGCAGCAATTCGGAGCTCCGAATCCGAGAATCGGACCACCGACTTGATGGCCCGAAGGAGACGGGGATCGACCTCTGGCGAAGTCGAGGTTGTGGCCTTCTCTATCAAAGACCTCACCTTTGTTCCCCGACCCCTTCTCTCCTCCTCTTCCATTGACGATCAAATCCAATCGATTCAAAAATTCATTAAATTTCAATTTCTATGACAAATTTTATTCCCGGAAAAAAAGCCCTAAATTTGAAGTTCGCAGATTCATTGACGTTTTTTCGCGGCCAAACGCCGTCCGTGCGTAAGAGGCATGTGAAAATGTGACGGTGTGGAGAACTGCAGAGGACTTGAGCTGTTAAAGCGGGCAACTCCTGGGTTGATCCCTTGACGGGCCCATATTCTAACGCTGAGCCCGTCTAAAACTAGATTGGCATTTGACAGACAAACCCCTTTTTTCTTTAAACAAAATAATAATTACATTTCTAAATATTTTAATTTTGGACGATATTTACATCTAATTCTTTATAGTTATTATATCAAGTTCTTCAATCATACATGATCATGTGTCCTATTTTTAAAATATTAATATGTGATTACATTTAATTATAAATTCATATAAAATAAAATAAAAAGACACGTACTTATGTGATTAGAGAATTTAACATAATTCATATAATGAACTTGACCTAAATTTTTTTTATTATTTTAATTTTTATAATTATATTATAATTTTTATAAATTAAATTTAAATTTTTTCTATGCTTTCGTGAAGTGATATAATTAAACTAATTTTAAAACATACAAATACAAATATATAATCTGTTTTATATAATTCTGTTTTATCACTATTTTACATATAATATATTTTATACAATTAAATAAAATGAAGAATCAAACATCTAATCAAGTGACCAACATAAAATAAAGATATATTTAAATTATGTGTAAAATAATAAATTCTTTTTTATAAAATTTAAAAAAAAATCATTGATTGGCAACCTAGCTCTACATGACGGGTTATGGACTGACACTTGGCACGTATCAATTATAAATGCCGACATCAAAACGGACTCTTATTTTACCAATGTGAATCCGTCATTTTTTACATCTTAGCACGTCAAGTCTACCATTTCTATGTTAAAGTGGGTCACACAAGACAAATTAGAAGAACTACACGGAAGAATGACTCTAAAGAGAAAAAAAAATTGACAGCAAATAATTACAAATTTGTGAAATAACAAGGTAGAATAGTGGTTTTTTTTATTAAAAAAACAAAAATAGTTAGTTGCATAGCTCAATTGTAAATTATAAATTCTCAATTCCTCGCCTTAAAAGACTTGTCGTGAATAAGTTACAATAAATTTTGAAAAATTTAGACTCCCAGTTCATTATATTGGTTTTTTCTAATTTGACATATATATCTATATATATAAGCAAATCCACCTCATTTGAGGAAATTAATCCGATTTGAAGTGGACATCTCCATGTAAATTCTTGCTTTGAGGTAGAGATTATGAATGGGATGATCCTGCAAAGATAATCTCACCTTGAGAGGTGTGTTGCAAGTTGCCTACCTTCATTCTCTTCAATAATTGAACCCTCCAAATCCACATTTTCACATGCCTGTATGAACACGCCAGAGCACTTCTTAACAGAAAAAAATTAATAAATTTGAAAGAATATGTGTGAATAATATATTTTTTTAGGGGTTAACTTGTACAAGTAAATTGAAGATCTGTAAAAGTTTTCGTGTGGAAATTGCTAACGTTTACCTCTTGGTCCGCTCAGAAAGATTAAGGGTGTGTTTGGATGAAATCAAACCGTGGTTTGGAAAAGTGATTCTGGAGAATAGATTCTGGAAAAAATAGATTCTGTGAAGAATAGATTTTGTAAAAAAGTGATTCTGAGAAGTGAGAGTGTTTGGATAGTTGTTATCAAAAGCACTTTTTATATATACAAATTACTAAAAAAAAGACATAAGTTAATATGATAATTACAGAAAAAATAGATTTTATGATATATTTTAATTTGAAGAAATAAAATTGTTAATAATATGTTTTTTACCAACATAATTAATAATACATAAGATAATATAATTAATAAATAATTAATGTCTATATATATTTATAAAATATAAGATTAAATATATTTATAAAAAAATATGTTTATAAAAAAATAACAAGATACATATCATATAGGTCCTCACACTCTCCCTTTTTTCTCTAAAAGCAAAAAAATTTTGCTTTTTCCAAAACCATGGTTTTGGTTTTTGGAGAGGCTGTTTGGGTAGCATTTTTCCCAAACCATGGTTTGGGTCCCCAAACCATGGTTTGGGGTGCTATCCAAACAGAGCCTAAAATAAATAAATTAATAGGTCCATAAAATATGCAAGGAATGTGGAAAGTAGGGGCAGTGAGGGAGGCAAGTGAAAAATTAGGAATCATTGTGATTTCAATTTCTAAAGAAAAAGAAAAGGAAGGAATAGTGTTGGGTGCACTACAACACTATCATCATTTTACTTAACAGCTAGAGTCCAAACAACAAGTTAACTTTTTTGTTTGAAAAATGCAAAGGGGGGACTAGAGCAGATGAAGTTTGATGTTCCCGAGGCCAAAAACGCACGGGAGTATTATTTTGTTCCCCTCCCACTTTGACCCGTTTATGGACAAAGTGCTCCTCCTATAATATCACTAAGAAGGTGGGGATTTAATTTAGCACTATTAACATTGATTAATTAATATTTAAATTCTCACTAAAAAAAATATTCACGTTTAAGCTCGAATACTTTGAACAGAATTATCTTTCATAAAAAATACATATGCTTCAAAAAAAAAAAAAACAGCATGCATGGGCATATATAAACGGGCCTACCGGGTGCTCACATATTTTGACCTTCCACCCCCTTCTCTCGTTTTGCATCTTCCCTGCGTTAACTTACACGTGCCTCCCTCTCTGTTTTTCTTCTTCATTGTCTTGTCTAGATAAAAACCAAACCGTAATTTTAAAAATATGATATACAAAATAAATATGAAAAGTTTGTCTCAATTTTTTTAAAAAAATATTTTTTAAAAGCACTTTTGGGTGTCCCCAAACACCTCTTTTTTTTCTCTCCATTTTTACTTATGTGGGCTCCATCTACTGCAAGTCTTAAATAAACTATACTGTTTATAATTTTAACCTTGAATAGTACAATTTGTTTATGGAAACATGGGGGATGGGAATAAATTAAGCAATATGAAATCCTCCGAAACATGGTAGATGAAGACGTAAGGAAAAACTTCATAACATTATTGAGATGAAATTTTTGATTAATTATATATTTAAAGATTTGGTTATTGATAGAATGTAATAAAATTATAGTAGTACTACCTCTGGTCTTTGATATAAGATCTTATTTAACTTTTATTTTAGTTCTGAATAAAAGACCTCAATCTACTTTGTCTCTCATATTTATGTATTTTTTTCAAGGTTTTTAATAATGATAGTTATAGCTAGTACATTTGATTAGCAAGGATATTTTAGAAAAGACAACACTTATTTATTACAAATAATTAACTTAATTTATTTTTTTAATCTTTTCAAATTAGTCAACTAGCTCTTATAATTAAGACTGGAGATAATATGATCTGTATAGTTGACCTCGTTAAGTACGATAAAATTCGTTATTGTTGTTATTTCATGCCATGTATATATATATATATATATATATATCTTTCAATTTTATGCTCTTTTTCAACACAGAACACTAATGTGCATCTCTAATTAAAATATTTTCAATCATTTAGTCGCCAATTAAATGAAGATTGAGGTCAAAATAAAATGAAACCTCAAATTAAATTTATTATATATGATGAACCAATCTAGATTGCTTCTCCATTCACAAGAGATGTGCATGATTTGTCAGAAATGTTTTTATTTACTTGTAGAGATAATTGAGAATCTAAATTCCACACACAATTGTGATCATGGGCCCGTGGTGCCAAATTTTCCACTAACAAATTGATTTAAATCTTAAGCGGGGAGACCTTAGGTTAAGAAAAATCGTAATTGGAGAAACGAGACAAGGTAACTTTATTTAAGGTGTGTTTGGATTAACGTCAGGTAAAATTGACTTATAGTCAAACTGACTTTTGTAATTGAGGTTAGAGTAAAAGTCAGCTAGTGTAATGTGATTTATGTTTGGATAGGTGTTTATAAAAAGTCAGTTGAAAAAATTAAAAGTTGTTTGGATGATTAATGAAAAAGTTAGTTTAGTTATAAAATGATTGAAAAGGACATAGACTTTATTAAGTAGTAGTATTTGAAATCTTATGTTTTTAACGTGATAATAGTTTAAAAAATAAGTAGAATTATTATGATAAAATATAAATAGTTTATTTGTGAAATTATAAAATAAAAATATTTGTTACGGAAAAAAATTTGAAAACACATTATGGATAATTAATTAAATACACGTAATGGACAAACCTGAATATAAATTAAAATTCATTTAGTCTCTAATTAAAATAAATGAAATCACATAACTAATTAGATCATAAGCTTTGCATAATTTTCCTATAAATCAGTTAGAAAAGTTGATTCAAATTGTGTTGGATAAGTCAGTTAAAAAAGTTTTTTTTTTCTGATAAGCCAATTAGAAAAAAAGACCTATCCAAACAATCTTCTGAACCACAATAAACTGCAAACCTCAGTTTCACGTTTCTTTATGTATTTTTACAATCCAGACGAGGCCTTAGAATTGGACCTCGCCAAAAGTAAGAGAATATTGATCGTTGAATGTTGATTCTCAAAATGAATGATGACGATGATGATATATAAGTGGTCCAACAAGATTAAAAGTATGCGGACAAGGAGGATATTTCTAGCATAACACGACCCCACTTGAAGGGTACGATTACTTTAATCCTAGGTTTCTTTTTATTTATTAGGTAGCCCTCAATATATACACTTTTTATATGAAATTTATTTTTATCCTCTGCTCGTTCAGACTCTTAATATTTAGTTATACTAAGAAAACTAAATAAATTACTCCTCCGGTCCTTATTATAAGACCCAATTTGACTTTTTATTTGGTCCTAATTATAAGACCCAATCTATTTTTTCTCTTATATTTATGTATTTTTTTCCAAGATAATCCTTCTAATAATGATAGTTTTAGCCAATATACTTAATTAGCAAGGATATTTTAGGAATGACAACACTTATTTATTATAAATAACCAACTTAACTTACTTCCTTAATCTCCTCAAATAAGTCAATTGGGTCTTATAATTAGGACCGGAGGAGTAGTTAACTATAAAAAATATGATATGATTTTTCTGAAATATCAATGTATAATTTTGGAGTCATATCAGTTATAAATTATTTTTAAAAATGATAAACATGATAGATAAAATAAATTTAATCTCATACTTAAAATTAAATCAGACTTGCAACTAACTTCTAAGAATAGGAGAGAATATAAATGCATAATGTTTGTGATTTAAAATTTAGAAGGTGTTTGACAACCATTAAAAATGTTTTTCCGCAAAACGATACAAATTCTTTCATATATTTACTTTAAGAGTATTTGTCCAAACACCCAATTCAAATCAGTAACCATGGTTTTAGGTTAAAACTATGGTTTTTGTTGGCCCAAAAACCATAGTTTTGTCAAAAGTGCTTTGAATCCGCTTGTGGCAAAAAAAATAGGAGTGTCAGATGGTTTACCAATGGATATGACACATATACCCTCAATTATTCATTTCTTTCATTCTCTTCCGCCTTCGGTCCCTCGCTCTCCATTCCAAATAGCTGGTTCCTTTCTTTTATGCTTTGCCTTGCCTTGCTCTCTCTCTCACTGCTTTCTCTCTCTTCCCAGGTAAGGGACGTTTAGCAGAAGTGAGAAGACACGCTAATTGTCCCGTTTTATGCTTCTAAATTCATTTTTGTTACATAAATAAATAAATTTAATGGCCAATTCTCTTATCTTATAATATATATTCACCAATCGGTCATTTTTCTCAACTCTGATGTGGCCTTGTTTCTAATATCTTTTTTTTTGACCAAGCTTGTTTCTAATATCTTTAATCTTATATCTTATAAATGTTTTTACACATGTAGTGACAATTAATTAATTATATTAAAGATAAGAGGTAGTATGTTGTTATAAAAACCAGCTGTGAAAAAATATTATAGAATTTCATGTTTAAAATCTTGAAAGCAAATTAATATTTTTATGTTAGAAAAAGAAGTAATCATTTTTCTATAAACATATTTAAACTTATAACTTATAAATATATATACATATATTAATTATTTATTAATTATATTATCTTATATATTATTAATTATGTTAGTAAAAATTATTTTATGAACAATTTTATTCCTTCAAATTAAAATATATTATAAAATCTATATTTTATGTAATTATTATATTAACTTATGTCATTTTTAGTAATTTACATATATAAAAAGTGCTTTTGATAATAACTATCCAAACACTTTCATTTTATCAGAATCACTTTTTCACAAAATCTATTCTTTACTAACCATGGTTTTTTAAGAATTTATTTTCCAGAAGCTATCCTCCAAACCATGATTTGGTTTCATCTAAATATCCCCTTCGTAAAACATAAAAACACTTTTGAAATCATAATTTGATTTCCATCTAAATAGCCTTTTAAACTATATGGGAAAAAAATAATACTCTCGCGATTAATTTTTACTCTCTCAAGGAATAATCAAAAAGCGTGAGATGAGGCTCGTAAAGTCGTACAAGACCCCTACTTTTTTCTTGGTCAAGACCCCTACTTTTTTCTTGGTCAATCTCTCGTCTAATGTACTGGTATAATTTAATTTTAATTTACGAATGTAAATGATTCGATCCACAACTGGTCATATCACTATGCTCCAAAACTTACAGCTAAGTTGTTGAAGTTTCATGAGCAAGTGTCGGATGTGATCTGTATTTAAAGAAGAAGAAAAATTGCTGACTCGCCACGTTGAGGAGGATGATTGGTTATAAAAAAATACTGGATTATTTGGGTGGACAGGAAAATCCAAACGAGCCACCGGAAGCCGCCACGACAGTAACATCTAATAGCTTTCATTTCTGTTTTCCTTTTGTTAATTAAATGGACAAATATTAACAATATGAGATTACAAGAAAAGAGACGGAACATGGCACAATATTTTCAAGATATAGACCTCCCAAGTAATTCACATTATCTATTTTCTTAACTAATAGCCGCTACCCATCATTTTAATTTTACTTGATACATTGACTGTGCCAATTTTCTTAATTCCAACTTATGAATCAATAATTATATTTTCCAAAACTGGAAAACTAACCTGGAGTCCTCACAATTTCTACTGATATTGGTTCTCATACTTTAATTTTTCAAACGGATACATTTCAGTTTGGACCGCTTGGGAAGATGGAAATAACAACAACAAAATAATAAAGTGCCTGTTTGGGAGGACTTAAAAAATTCTCTATAAACACGTTTTATGTAAGTCGAGACAAAATTCTTCTCACATATTTACCTTGTATTCTGTAAATTATTATTAAAAAGCAACTTATAAGCTATTCCAAACGGGTCCAAAATCACTTGGGCTGTACAATATGTGACATTGGTGCACGGTGCTGCCACAGTCAATGAGAAAATCATACTCTCCTCTTCTATTGATGCTCTCCATGATCCCCGTCAGCCACTTGCTTTCATTCATATCATTCCATTTTTTAATGTATTCTTTTAAATTAGAGGAACAAATAATAACAATATGAAATTACAATAAAGATTAGTAAAAATTTTGCAGTCTAGTGTGGCATTGACCTTCCTAGTAAGTAGAAGTTTGCAGGTTCTAATCTTTTTATAACCTCGGTCATTAATATTGGCTCTTTTAATTAAAAAAAAAGATCAAGTTCAGGAAAAATCTCAAAAAGAAATATCTTTTAAATTTTAAAATTTTAAATAAATTTTGTTTATCTTTTTTTTGGTCATTAACATCATTTTTGTTTACTACACTTTAATGATAATTGACTACATTTAAAAAACAAATTAACGATGTATATTTGTAATAATTCCTGATTTTAAAATTTAAAATTCAAGATATATAATTTTTTAGATTTTCCCTTAAACTTATGAGCCTTCTTATCATTAGGGTACATGATTATTTATATAGTTTTTTTTTTTCCGGTGAGCTTGATAAAATATTACTCTCTCTGGATATTCTTACAAATGATGCTAGGATCTTGCTTCATAGGGATTGGGTAGTACAAGTTTTTCACGTTCACAGGCAGGACAATCATACTGCTAATTTCCTTGCTAAACTGTCTCATAAGATGGAGAGCAATTTTTGTATCCTTCATCAACCTCCATCTCTGTATCTAGGGGAGGACAGTGATGAGGAAGGATAGCTGTAATTGTTTTACTTGTTGTAAGTAACGTTATCCAATTTTTAATTCAAAAATTGACAATATATTTTTATAATAATTTCTGATTTTAAACTTTAAAATTCAAGATGTGTTTATTTTTAGATTTTCCCTTAAACTTGTGAGCCTTCTTGTCATTAGAGTAAATGATTATTAAGCTTTATAAAAGATTACTCTCCCCGGATATTCTTACACTCGCATGAACTTAATTTCATGACATTATCTTCATTATCAAACAACATTAACATCTTTTTTTATATAAATTTGTTTAAAACTATCCCTATTTTGAATGTCTTTTAAATGATGTATACTTTAAAAAATGTCAATATTCGTAGCAATATAACATCCAAATGCAGCATTTGATGCAAATAAGCAAATTAATAATTCGGTAGGACCATTATGCGATAGAGTAACGAGTCTAGTTACTCTCAATTAGCTAATACTAATAATTAATAATAGTACAACAGCAAACACAGTGCACGTAAATTGCAAGAAACTTCCAACTCGTTCTTCGCTCCTCTCTCTTCATCCAAATCCGAGGAAGATATTATCTCAGCTACTCCAATCTAATTTCGTTTTTGTTTAATTCAAAATAGACGCCAGTAATTCAAGGGAAAAAAAAATAAAACTACAGGGACGATTTGTCCCCATTAGCCACGTCATAGGTCCGGCTTACGCGCACCCACGAGGAGCAAACCCGACCCTAGAACCCGCCAGATCGTACACGACCCGGAAACCTTGTTGCTGGATGTTCCCGATTATCGACAAGCTGCCCATCGTTCCCGCGAAGGCGAAGCAGAAGCTTCCGTGGGTGTCCACCGGAATCAAATAGTTCGTCGCCGGAAGTGACATGTCAGCACCTCGGAAATGCAGCACCACCGTGGGCACCTTCACCTCCGTCTGCCCCGACAGATCGAAACAAGTGTCGAAGAGTGAGAACTCCGGCGCCTTCTTCAGATGCGACGCTCCAACCCTGAAAGCGTTCCTGAGGGCGATGTAGGCGGGTCGGGTGAGCCGGGTCACCGACGTGCCGGAATCGATTATTACGCCGCCATTCCCGGTGGGATCGAGTCGAAAGAGCGACGGCGAAATACCCCGAACGGGTGTTCCCCCAACACTGATCCCGAGGAGTTCTACAAAGTAGAATGTGTCGAGCTTAGGGTGACTGAGGAGAGGAGTGAACCGGGCGGTTCGAGGAATGGCCATGTCGCCAAATATAACTGAAGACGGTTTGGCCGAAGAAGAACGATCCACTAAGCAATACGAGAATTTCTGGCCGAAACGACGTCCCATTTGTGCCGGAAACGACAACTTCCCACGGCCGAGACCCAACAGTCCCGCCGCGCCGATGAAGAGTCCCTCATTGTCGTGACCGCATCCGAGGGCAACGCCGGGGACTTGAGTGCGCCGAAACGTCAGAGTTTCAGTGGAAAAATCCCCCACAGTGAACGAACCGTCACCGTAGGAAACCTGATAGAGACAGTTCTTTTTCTTGTTGCATCCAGGAGAATCCAATCGCCGGCAGAGAGGGGAGGCACATGAGATTCCAGCGAACGACCGAGATTTAGTAGGGTCGAATACTGGGTCTGTCTGGGAGTAGCACTTCTGGCAAGGAGAACACTGGAGCCAAACGACGTCGCTTCCGGTATCCAGCACCATGTACACGTTCCTCGGAGGAGTGCCGACGCCCAAGCGCGTAAAGTACTCTCCACTGCCCTGAGTCAACCCAGATATAATGGAGCTGCTGAAACCCGGCCTGCCCAGCCGGCCAACGAGGCTCTGGTCCACAGAAGCAGCATTAGAGGCCATGGAAATGAAGGATTTGACCCTAGCAGCATCTCTTTGCAGCCGGAGGTTGAAGAGCTGTTCTGGGGTTTTGTTGAAAGACATAGAATCCACATGATGCAGTTCAAGAGAGATCACAGATTCGGATTGTGGATCGGATTCGGATGTCTCTACAACATCGGATTCGGACCATGAGGGTGCGAGTGGGGGGGAGAGAGAGTGGAGGACTAGAGGTTGGGTCTGCAAGGGAGATGAGTCGACGGAGGAAGCGGCGGGGAGAGAGAGGAGCAGGGCGGCGAGGGAAAAGAAGAGCATGAGATTTCCTGCCCTGGGTTCCATTATTGGGGAGACGAGAGAGAGTGTGTGTGAGAGAGAATGGTGGGAGAAACACACAGATGGCAGAGAATAAATAGTGGAAGATAGGGGCAAGAAAAGGGGTAAAGCGGCTCCAAAAGAAAACTTAATAAAAAAAGTGACCCTTGGTAATAAAGAGAGTTTGGTGTCAAACTAAAAAAATAAATAGTGGTAGTTTGGTGAGTGGTGTTTTAACTCAATTATTGCCCGTTGTATAATGGCTTTAGATTTTTCATTCTGATCTGATGGATATATAATTGGATTTAATTGCGGGACGGTTGACTATTAACAGTTAACAGTCCAGTAATTAATGCCATGTTGTTTTATTATCCAAGGAAATTACTGGTCTAATTTTAGTTTTTTATTCAAAGAAATAAATAAAAAAAAATTAACTATCGCTCTGTTACTTTTTTTTTTAATTTTAATCGTGACTGTGGCAATCTACAATGTGATATTGGATGACGGCTCTGAACTGAATTTGTCTCATGCATAAAAGTGGAAAATTAAATTCGTAACACTTACTTAACATATGAAAACACATGGCGTTTACAACTTTACACTAACTTGAATTTGTCATTTTGAATTTATTTTATAAGAAATCAAATAAATAATATTCATCAAATCCTAAATATAAGATCCATTTACATTACAAAATGGATCTTATATTTAGAATTGGAGGGAGTATCTGTTTGTGAGCAATGCACAACATTCTCATACGACTAGCTTTATGTTTAATCGGACAATTACAAATATTATCATAATCCTCAGTGAATGTTAGGAATTTTACCATGCTTTATATATGTGTGCGTACACGTGTGTATGATTTGTCTTGTAAAGCAGTAATTATAGAGTTAAATAGTGATATTAATTGTTTATTCGAGGAATGTGCTTTTATTTCGTGATATGAATTTTTGAATTTCTTAGATGAAAAATTGTTTATAGGAAAAATATATTAAAAAGGTTGAACAACGTGTTGCATTTTAAATTAATCATAGATGAACAAGAACCAGGGAATTAAACAGTATAATTTCTTTAATCAAGCTCATAATTTATCATGTCATTATCAATACATAAGTATCAATGACACATAATTCGTAACAAATTTTATTATTCGTACAGTATGAACCATGCAAATGTAAGTTGTTCTTAAAAATTTTGTCCAGTACACGTGAAATTAAAACATATCTGGCATAATATAAAATTCATAGGAAATCATTCTATATATATATATATACTCCTCCGGTCCTTATTATAAGACCCAATTTGACTTTTTATTTGGTCCTAATTATAAGACCCAATCCATTTTGTCTCTTATATTTATGCATTTTTTTCCAAGATAATCCTTCTAATAATGATAGTTTTAGCCAATATACTTAATTAGCAAGGATATTTTAGGAATGACAACACTTATTTATTATAAATAACCAACTTAACTTACTTCCTTAATCTCCTCAAATAAGTCAATTGGGTCTTATAATTAAGACCGGAGGAGTATATATTATGTTCAATTCAAAAGAAAAAGTTGCAATTTTGCTTCCGCAACAATAATTCAATTATCTGAGTGAGGGTGTTATGCTCTTATCTGCGAAGTCACGAGTTGGAATTGGCATAGGACCGAAAGACGATTTGGTTAGTTAATAATATAAGTATTATTATGACCGAGGGACAGGAGAACAGTTGACCTGAGCTGTCTAGCAAGACATGGAGCACTAATCACCTGTGCGCCTCTCCATAATAGGCTTTCAAGTAATCATATCCATGCGCACACAACATAACATTTATTCATGAAATCTAATTAATTAATTTGAGTGGATTAAAAACATTAGTTAAATTAGTTAATATGATATATTTTTTAAAACATCCGTAATAATCTTCTTTAATTTTCTTTATCTCTCTTCTATTTGATTATTGTGAAAGAAATATTAATAGGGTTGATTTAAAAAAAATTGACAAACATATTAAATAAGTCTTGCGTACACGACTAACATCTACTTTTAAATTAAGTTTTATATTAAAGACCAGAGAAGTATATCTTAAACCTCATATAAAGTAAGAATACTCTAGAAAAGACAATATATATTTATTATAAATAATTAACTTAACTAATTTTCTTAATTTATTCAAATTAATCAACTAGCTTTTATATTAAGAAGATAATGTAGTGTAAAAGGTAGTTAAGGAGATTATTTTGTTGCTAAATCTTACACTGAAATCCACTCTACATTCTTTGGCAAAAAAAAACTCTATATTCTAAATTTATATTCGTTATAAAAAAATTATTCTTATTATTACACACATTAAAAATAATTTTTTTAATATTCATTATAGTTGCTCAATTTTTATATTTAGCATGGATTATAAATAGGAAAAATGATAAAAAAATAAATTGAAAATTATTAAATCTCAAATTAGGTTTGGTAACAACACTTTATTTGATATTGACAACAACAAATTTGTAAATGACAGTAAATTTTTATTAATTTTCTTTATCTAATATTTAGTACTCCTCCGGTCTTTAATATAAAATTTATTTAACTAATTTGATTACATTAATGAAGTTAGATAAGTTAGTTAATTATAAAAAATATGACATGTTTTTTCTAAAATACCACAATCATCTTTCTTAATATTCTTCCCCTTCTTCTAGTTGATTATAGTTGAGGAAGTATCCATAAAGGTAATTTAGAAAAAAATTAATAAATATGAGAAATAGGTTTTATATTTATGACTAAAATCAAGTCAACAATTAAGTCTTATATTAAGGATCCAACTCATCCAAGGAGTAATTTCTAGTTTCTTTTTTTTGTCATTTTTTTATAAATATATTTCATTCTCATTTTATGCGAAGGCTCATGTGAGTCATGATGAATAATGGTCCAAGAAAGCGAACTTTCCCAACAATCTTCCTACAATCAAGGAGGTATATTTCCTTGACAGATTCTTTGCTTAGCCTCCTTCTATGTCCTGAAGAGGACCCTTGCAATTATTACCGCAGAAGTCCCTTCTCAGAAAAAAAAAAATGAAAAAAGAAAAATCACATGATTGTGTATTGATTTTTATTTTATTTTCCACAAATAATTAAGAAACTCACGAAGTTGGTCTCCAGAAAGCATTTCAGAAATTATGTTGTTCATGATTCTAATGAGTCTCTAACGCCGCCTATATACATACAATCCCGTGATCATTATTGATTTCTTCTACCCACCACACCTGTAATAATTATTTTATTCATTTATTTATTTATTTTGCTTCCCCATGTTGAGTAACCATTCTCTGCTCTATAACAAAATTATTGAGTGAATACTGAAGCAAATGATACACCCGATCTTTTTGCCAAATGACTTTGAAAACGATATCCTAATTTTCCATTCCATGAACTTGGATTTTTTTTTTGCCAGACATGAACATGGATTCATCACACTTTTTGAAAAAAAAAAGTTCGTATTTATTATTTTAAAAATTAAAAAAATCTAGTTTTTTTTTTCAAATACCTTTTCCTGCAACTAAAATTTTTCTTCTTCTGTTTTTGTCTTCACTTCTCAATCCCAGCAGTCTTCACTTCTCAATCCCAGCAGTCTCCACCGGGGGAAGCGGAGTGAGACGAAAGGGCCCCACACGACCAAGACTTCTTGGCATGAAACAAGTTTTATATTTCAATGGACAGCTCATAATATTTCCCCCTCAACAAAGATACTCGTACATTGCGGAAAGGAAACAGTAATTTGATGTTCTTAATTAATTACTGTTTCTAATCTTTACTATAAGAATTAATTAACTAATTTAAATAGACTAAAAAAATTAGTTAATTTAGTTTTTTTTAAATAAATAGGTATTGTCTTTCTTAAAATATCCTTACTAATCAAGTGTATTGATTAGAATTACTATTATTGGAATGACTACTTTGAAAAAAAAAGATAAATATAAGAGGTAAAGTGAATTAGAATCTTATATTTAAAATCAAAATAAAAATCAAACAAATTTTTATATTAAAGACAGGAGGAGGTAGTGTCATACTACTAATTCTTATTATCAAGACTGTCTGATGCCCAAAAAAAAAGTTTCTTATTGTTAAGACTGTCATGTAAGAAACAGTGTGGCTTTTTATTTGTGTGAGTGTGACACGTGCTGAAATTTAGTATTCATGTCAAATTCAACAAGAGATTTTGGGCACTTCAATTTTTTCATACCAAGCACCTTAAGAGTTAAGACAAGGAATCAAAAAATCAAAAGAATTACTCTTCCGGTCCTAAATATAAGACCTTTATATACACTAGTATAAAGGTTTTATATTTAGGACCGGAGGAGTACTTAAACCTACTAAGTTTTTTTTTTTTTTTTAAAAGAGTGACTCTCCAAATAAGGTTGACCCAGCAGATATTAATAAATTTAGAGATGTTGTAGACCCTTTTTTTTTTTGCCAACGAGACATTTTAACTTCGAAAGGTCTAAAAATCAGTCAGTCAAGTTTTTTTTTTTCTAAGTACAACATTTAGATATTAGAGATAATCCTATTTGAACTAGTGGGATCTCTTCTAATAGAAACTTTAACTCGAGTTCGTTGGTTGAATCAATAAAGGTGATCACAAGATGACGTCCTCCACTTTTCTTGTGGGCCATCAGTTTCGTCCTCTAACTTAAATGTGGGCACATTTTCTGACATAAATTCTATCTTCAATTTGTCATCTCTTTTGCTAGAACTTGTTTTTATTGGTTGAATCAATGAAGGTTATCACAAAACGACGTCCACCACCTCTCTTTTGGGCCATTAGTTTCAGCCTCTAATTTAAATGAACCTCTTGGCCCAATGTTATTGGACCATTAAGTTTATTGAGTCGAGTCGTATGCGGCCCATAGAGAAGGGTTCCCTAAAGGAACAATGGAACATGTTGGGCAATGGACATGAATAGGAAATATAGATTTCATGATAGGCAAAGTTATGAATGTTTCTTCCGGCAAAAAAAAAAAAAAAATGAATGTTTCAATCAACGAAAAAATTACTCTCTAAAAAGGCTTATATAATTGCCCTGACACACACAC